ATATCAATTGAAATTTCTCAGCAAGTTTAAAGAACTCAAAACTTTTCTGCTCTCTTAACAATTTAAAGCAGTTATAATTGTGCATGGCTCAAAAGTTGAGAGTAAATGATGCTTCATTATTTATTATTTTTGAGTGTTTTTTTTTTCAAGCTACACATTCGTACGTCAACTACGTCATGACGTTTTCTCTCTACCATGAACGACGTTCCAGAAAAATCTGTTCAATCCTTGACATGGTTTGGGGAATGCGTTTAACCCAAGCCCCCACAATGCGGGTGAAAAATTGAAGCAAAAGCGGAAGTGAAATAAATTGCAGTTCCACCCTCATCCGCTGGGGGCTGGTGTCAGAAGCGAGCAAATCCTCATTGACTCCCATGTTAAAACTACCAATTTCACAGCAGAAATAAACATGTTTACAGCCTGGTACCAAAACATGTTTTTTGTTTAAATTATCTAGTTTACACTCATGACAGCTCTGAGGGGGGTGAATTTTTTCTCACTCTTCTGTTTGTGTATTAAAAGCCTAAAATTCTGTATAATTAATGAGCATCAGACCTACGTGACCACAGAGCTAGCTCCGGGGAAAGGCCTCAGTAGAGCCTCGGTCTCGCCTGAAAACTGTTCTGTCAGTTTCAGTCTCTCAACTTAGACCATTAGTTGTGCATTTGTGTATTCTTTTTTGGATACTATTCGTGCAATTGTTGGACAAAATGACTTGCTGTGGCATTAATTGCACTAATGGAGCGTCCAAGGAGTCACCACTTCATTTTTTTCGGTAAGTAAAATTATATTTATGTATTTTAGGTCACTGCCAAGCTGAGCTTAGATTTTAACATGTACTGTTTAACCATGAAAGTTAAATGTAATAGGGTAAAAGCCAGTGCATTTAACATAATGCTGCACTTTAGAAAATGTGTTGAAATATAACATGTTGGTGGAGCTGGGTTGCGACTATCGGCTTGTGGAGCTCTCGGGAGACCGATGTTTTCCACCCGGTTCTCTCCTCCCCGCAGCTCGGCGCATCTCTGTCTGATCGCGGCTTCTGTCTGCTGCGCGGGCTGCCGGCTTGTAGAGCTCTGGGATGGAAACCGATGTTTTCCCGCCGGTTCTCCCCTCCCCGCAGCTCAGTGCATCTCTGTCTGATCGCGGCTCCTGTCTGCTGCGTGGGCTGCCGGCTTGTGGAGCTCTGGGATGGAAACCGATGTTTTCCCGCCGGTTCTCCCCTCCCCGCAGCTCAGTGCATCTCTGTCTGATCGCGGCTCCTGTCTGCTGCGTGGGCTGCCGGCTTGTGGAGCTCTGGGATGGAAACCTTTCCACCCGGTTCTCCCCAGCGGCAGCTCTGCGCATCTCAGATCTCAGCGGCACTTGTCTGCTGTGCGGCTGCCGGCTTGTGGAGCTCTCGGGAGACCTTTGTGTTCCACCCGGTTTTACCCAGCGGTCAGCCCGGTGTATCGCTGACTCAGAAGCTCTGGTGTTGTGCACAGTTAACTCCGGTTGTAGCTAGGTTGCTACCTCCATTAGCTTAGCTCCCACCTCTGCGTTAGCTTTGGGTTAGCTTGTAGCTAGTTTTACCAGGTGTTGTCAGTTGATCCCAGCCTTACAGCCCCACCCTCAGCTTCACCTCTCTTCCCTTTTGTGGAATTGTCTGGGCTTGACGGAACCTGTGACACGGTCAAAATGGTGATGGTGGCCACCTCCCATTTTTCTTCAAAAACGTGTTATTGGAGTCTATGGAAACCCATTGTCCATATATGTATATGTCGATGGTTGCTACGCAGGAGATGTATGGCAAGCTGTTGTAGCATGTAATTCACAGATGCTTGTATATTAGAATCAGTTAAGACTGGATTATGTTGCCAACCCTTACATGAGAAAATATATACGCCACCATTTTATTGTTACCCGTAAAAATGTAATTTTATTTGCATTTTCAGTAGCTTACTACTAAACATGTTAATGAAATAATTAAATTCTACTGATTTATATATGGATATATACAGATATTCTTTAGACTAGGATTAGTGATATTAGTACAAACTTAAAATGTTAATCAAATGTGAGAGAATTATAAGATACCTTTCGTCAAACCTTTTGACAGGTCTATTGTTCTTTGACCTTTTTGACCTTTCAGTCCTATTGTTCATTTGACCCTTGACCTTGCCCCCCCTTCCGTATCATTAATCAAATGGACATGTGTATTGTTAATCGTCCAGATGGCCTAGACCCCCCACGCCGCATCATCAATGGCGTATTGTTGAACGTCCAGATGTCCATGATTCCCCACGTCATAGGCTAATGTGTGTAATGGCGTGTGAAGTTTCTTATTGTGTTACCCAGCGGTTCCCACAGCCCCCCTCCCTTCTGAGTGTAATCCTATTGTGTATAACTCTTTAAAAGCTCAGATCTGTCCAAATGGTGAAAAGCCGAGCTCTAAGAAAAAATGAGTTATATCTAACATGACATGGCTCACTGACAGTGGATGAGTGCGGCCTAACTGCTGTGAATGACAGCCCCACACGCTGGTCAAGTACTTATGAAATGGTTGTACGTCTCCTCAAAGTTAAAGAATCTGTTTGTGAAGTAGCAAACAAGATGGGATGGTCTGCTTGCTCTCGAGTGAGTGGCATAAGCTGAAGTCAATGCAAGAACTTTTGCAGCCTTTTGCTGAACACACACAAACTCTTCAGAGTGACACATTGTCTATGTCATTAATACTCTCTTTGATTTACTCAGCCATCTGGCATATGTTCACGTTGGATTTCGTATGTTCAGTCTTAAACTTTGTGTTTAAATGTGTTATTTACATGCAGCTCACTGACACTTTTTGACCAGAACTAAAACTATTGTGTAAAACTTTCTGTCTAGCAGCACCTCAAATAATGGATGAATCATCAGAGGCTGTAAACACACACACACACACACACACTTACACACACATTTAAAGCACTTTCCCCTTTCAGAAAATGTCTGACTCTCTCTGTTACCAACTCTAAACACCATTCATACATTTCTCTCACTTCAGAAAAGCAATGGTTTGCCATCCTAAACCATTTATGGTTCTATTGTAAAGCACCCTGCATACTCAAGCCTATAAGAATAAAAGTTGATCCTTACCTCAGTGTGACGCTTTTAGTCGACAACTCACAAAGCAAATGACTCTGTATTGTTTTGCAGGTGGGCTGAATTGAAAGAGTGGCGGGAAGTTGGTTCAACAAAGATCTGTTGAGCTTTCTTAAAGCTCATTCTAAACAATTTTACACGGCCAGCGACTTCTGACAAAGCAAATGACTTCCTTTTTTTTTTGCAGGTGGCGGGGAAGTTTTAAAACAAAGATTTGGTTCATTCTAACCTAGTCGGCATGGAAACAATTCACAAAAGCAAATGACTTGCTATTGTTTCAAAGAGCTATTTAGGTGAACAGCATCTTTGGTTCGTCATCATCAGCAGTGAAAGCTTAACCATCGCCTCCTGCCTTTAGTGTCACATTTTGTTTTCACTGTCACACACACACACAC